AATAGATCAAATTAGTCAAATAAATGGGAACCTCTGCCATCTTCTATAAATATAATAAATGGTTTCATCCTTAGACACAGTTGATATCTTGATAAATGATACGAACTTGGAAGTTGTTCCATAAATTACAAGCAAAACTAAGCCTTACTCTATCAGCATGTTCTTATCGATTGGATGTATCATGCTGTTGAACACGGCCTGTGCAGTTTTCAACGAATTTGGCAACGATTTATCTGTTCGTTCCCGCATGAAGACCCATTGGCCGTTCTGGAAAAAAAAGATAAAAGTGAAGGCATAGAGTGGAAGATCACCAGAGAGGAAACTACCACAAAAAACGCATTTTCGGTGTTCACCTTAGTTACCCACGACATGAAGAATGAAACGTAAAAGCAGTTCATACCTCGAATGTACATTCGATAATTTTATTATCATATGGTAGCAGCTTTTTCGTGGCCTTCATGGTCGCCATCGGTTCGTTTGCATGTTGTACATAAAGATATCCAATATGCTGTGGTAGCTCACCTTCTTTGACAACTCTGAAAACATTTGAGGGCAATAGAGGGCAGGCATCGTATAGATGATGTTGAAGTAAAGTGAAAAGCTCCCAAGAATCGTCGTCAGCTGCTGTTTCCCCCCTTGCCGATGAAAGGACATCGAAAAGTCAACAACACGATGTGCTGAGCGACTTTGTTACCCTCTTTTCCCAACTGCCTTTCAAAAGCCGTTGGTTTTCCCTTTTACATCTGACTAAAAAAACCTACAAGAGGCTCTATACAACATTCAGCATTCATGACAGCACCACTCATTAAGTTTTATTAGGTTGTCCCAAAAGTTCGTGGAACTTTCGAACATTTTTTCGAGTTAAGTTTATTCCAGTGGGAAGCAATTTTGATCAACTATATATATGTCACCTTCATTGGCAACTTGTTGCCAATCACTACGCAATGTGTGGTTGCCCTGCTTCCAGAAGCCTCTTAGTTCTGTGCCCAGAAAGGCAGCTGGGTCATTTTTGAGGTACTATCAAAAATCGTATTTTTTTCACCAAGAAGTATGCCGCTGTGTCACGATTAGTTTAGATGGTGACTAGCGAATAAGCAGGCCTAAGTCAGGGCTACACGAAGACTTGTGGTGCGGTGGAATTCTGCAGCCTAAGCTTCGGGATTCTCGAGCCCCAGTGTGTCGTTTTCCAAATGTGTGACCCTGAGCTGTGGTAGAGTAGGCAAATATTGCTCGGTTTTGGGACCAAATGTTAGCGATTTTCAACCCCCTTTGCAGTTGATTACAATACGGATTTGGTAGGTGATCACCAGCGCTTGAGAGAGAAAAATTTCTTTATGGGAAACGGAGAAAGAAACGCCCAGGCCACGCTAAAACAGTCTCACCCACCCTACTGGATTGCGCGATCGGTTCTGCCCTTTCTGGGGGATCTAGCCGCTGGCGCTCCCAGGAGTGATTCACCTAGAGGCACCCACTCCATATCCAGTTACAGTGCTGTTCAAACTAATCCGTACAGCGGAAGTGGTGAGAAAAGTTGTAGAAAGTACCCACATGTGCTCCCTTGAAGTACTGCGTCAATTCATGGAGCAAAAAACCTGTTGACGAATTCTCAGAACTTTTCTAAGAGAGCGAGGCGCCCTCTCTTTTCATTTGTTTTTGGGCCAACTCAAGTGAGACTAGATAGCCAAACTGATTCTGTAGACGTATTGTCCTCCGGGACCGGTGGTTCTAATCAAGGAACACAGTGGGTCCAGATCCAAGGCAGATGGCCTCCCTGGACGAAGTTTTTCACCCAGATAGAAGTCATTAGAGCGGAAGCAAATTGGGCCATTCCAAAGCCGTACTGTGAAAGGTATCATTAAGAAATTTTTGTAATAAGAGAAATGCGCATGCCGTTATCGCGTTCCCAACCACACTGTGGCTTGTAGAGATTCATTATAGCGAGAGTGTGTCGAAATGCATTTGGGGGAAATTTCAATTACCGTTTTTCATATGAGAACAGCGCATTGCGAGGAAGAAGCTGTGGGATGCTTACCTAACACACTTCCCATAGACCACATAACTGGATCTCGAAATGGCTGCGGAAAGATCTGATACGAGATTCAAAAAATGTCCACGAACTTTTGGGACAACCTAATATCTCCAAGTTCTCCCTTCTTGTAACCTCGGCATGATGTCGAATGTTTAGTTATTTCTGCCAAACGAGGTTTTTAGATAGAAGGTTCTATCTAAAAACCTCGTTTGGCAGAAATAACTAAACATTCGACAACTTAATATATTTCTCGACAGGAGTAAAACCAGAGTTTTTTTTCCTGGGATTGATGAAAGTTCCAGTAAGACCGACAAGGTGTTTCACCACCCATGCTCCCCAGCGATGTCATTGTCATTGCACGCTTCCGTGCTTCCACACACGATAGCATATAAAACAAAAGGGCGGAGAAAGAACCTTCCATAATTCGTTAGAGAATCGTATCACAAACTTGGCAGGAAGATTCGAGCTCAGCGTCCCAAGACACGTACGTCTGTGTTCATAGCCTGCTAGTGGCCGGATCGACCTAATATCCTTCCCTGGTTAGCCTTTCCGAAAAGTTATTGATTATGCGGTAGCAAAGCCATGCTCAAAAAATATACCCACTTCAGCGCTAAAAAGTCCTTTTTTCCACTTCGTTCTGCCTCTGAATTTTTTTGATGATGTCTTTTCAAATATCGAACAATTAAGTGATACCGGTTGGAATCGATGCTGACTGCTCCAGTTCAGTAACGAAAGAACCTAAGGCGCCCTGATCAAACTGACCCTCGCGCTCATATTATATGAGGCTCCACAATAAAAGGAAGACAACATGTTGAACAAATTCCGCTCTCAAGATCGATATAAAGTACTGATTGCACGGCATTCCCGGAGCAATATCCAAAGAAAGACTACCCACTTCCTGATCTGAAGTTTGAAGTCAATCGAATTGTGCGACGGTGGTTTCCACTTGAGGACTATATCCGAGCGACCTGGGGTGTATGGCTGAAATGAGATGTACTTATTCTCCACTCAAATCATCTTGGAACTTCCATTACAGTCGACACCAAACACCTATGAAATTATTACTTGAAAGTGGTGTGAATTTTATACTTACAGCATCGACCGGTTGCAGGATGAGACCGTCAATTTCATGTCCAACATTCTTCGTAAACTTTGGCTCGAAAAGCTTTGGCAAGGCTTCCATCTCCCAAGAAATCTTTCACGCGTACAGACATCGGTTCACGTTCCTTACGGATACGACCTGCCTAGAGACTATAACTGCGGTCTTATTTTTACCGATATAACACCAAACAGATGAAATTGACAAAAATTTCTGATATGTTTGAAAATAAAGCCTCTAGAGGAAGACCAGTCAAATTTCGAAATACAAGAACGAAGACCGCCGTACACACGAATTATAAAAAACACCTACCTTTATCGCAGCATTCCTTGGCTCAATCAGCTCTCGTCGAATGCACATGAACCGGATATCAAAGTTTTCTTTTCCGACATGCATATCCTGGAAAATACAGTGACCATAAAAGATAATCAGAGTTACGATAAGTCTGAAGCAGACAGAAAAAATAGACATGGATAAAAAATCACTACAAAGACTGATTGTTTGTTTCGTCCCTACTTTCGGTACAAAACGAAATGGCCTATTGATTAAAATGCATGAAAGAGAATGGATAACAATTAGTCGACATAACTGCCACAGGGTGCACGAGATTCGCAGAACTGACCTCGAAATGAATTATATCATATATCAATAATCTTGGCAAATCAACTGTATTTCCGTGCTCGTCTTTGACCTGGAAAGAATCTAGTGCTGGTAAATTCTTATTAAGCAAAAAAAAATGTGCGGAAAAAAGAAAAGCGAAGTGAGAAGCAATACACAAACTCACATGATCAATAATCATTTCTGCATCCACCAGAGTGTTCACTATATGCCTAGGGTGTTTTCGATGGGGAAACGACAGCCCCTGTATCAGAAATACCTGCAAAAAGATTACATAAGGAGACAGCTTGTGATTTTTTGCGGTGCGTTGAACAGGGGACATGGGAAACAAGCAAGAGTTGTAAAAAAGGAAAAGGCCTGGAAGAGACAAAGATGAAATGGCCAAAAGTTAAGGGCGCATTCCATGAAAACCTGATTCGTGAAACCCGCTACGGTTGGGCTGCGTTTATACTTTGCGTCAGCGTACGCGGTGTACGGCAGCGTTTCGAGCGTACGCCAACGCCAGCGACTAGGAAAGTATGGATATCCATCCAGCTTACGCCAGCGTTGCCACCAGTCGAGCTAGCGTATTCCAGCGGAAACGCTGGCATACGCTAGCTCGATACCCACACTTTCTTAGTTGCTAAGGCTGTCGTACGCTGGCATACACCGACGCAATGTGTGAAAAGGGATCTGCAGGTCGGATGTACTCTCACCGCAAGGATGCAGGTTTCCACGTCGCATCTTCTGGCCCAGCACTTGAATGGAGGGAATATGAGGAAGAAGGACGGAAGGAAAAGAAGTGGGAGCAAAGAAAAAAGGGAGGAGAGGGCTCCACGGTTGATCGATATCCTGAGACGGACCCCTGAAATCTGTTTCTTCTCCAAATTGGCTGGTACGCTTTCTCAGGAAGGTGCTACTTTCGCGACACTGTAAACGCAAAAGCGAGCGTTGCGAGCACTCTAAGTGCGACATCTCTGATGTCACACTCGCCTTCTCGTTTTCTCATCCTTTTCCTCTAATCTCTCGAACACGCAAAAGTTTTTCGCTTTGCTTGAGCCTGCGGCCCCTTTTAAGAGGTCTTCGATAAGGGGCCCACTTTTTTCCTTCACTAGTAGGTCATTCAGTAAGAATACAAATTCACATGAATGCCCCAAAGCTCACGAATTGATATAGCGGACTGTGCTTATAAGGAAAGTGCCGTACTTGTGCGAAAGAGAAGTAGACAGAATACATGAGAAAAGAGAAAGTGAGCCGACCTGGAACTACCAATGAGCATGAAACAGGGGTAAAGAAGAACCATCGAAAAAGATATAATTCAAGAAAGAAAAAGTGAGCAACACAGAAAAAACGCAGGAATGAAGAAAAAGGGGTGGATACTGTATGGAAAGAAGCGGTAGAAAATCGACAAGTATGAGAGGAGAAAGCAAAAAAACCAAGTGTTCAAAAGAAAACGAGGATCGTCAATATAATAAGGAAGAACACTAGGGAGCATTAAGCGTAAAGAGTCAAAAAAGACTCGTACCTCATTGTCCCTATCGAATGCATAAACCTCATTTTCATCACAAATATAGATCATATACCTAAAAGAATGACATTGTATTCATGGAGAAAGAGTACAATGAGCAAATATTGAAAGATCCTGTCGAACCTCATTCCATCTGCTTTCCACGACACCATATAAGGCCTCTGTGCTAACATTTTTAGGTTGTCATTATCACGAGATCTTTCTAAAGAAACGGGGTTGAAGACCTGGAAACCCATCCCGTTTCGCTCCAACGAGCTCTTTGATCTGAAAAGAAGAA